ACAGCATGAACACCTTTGGAATGATGTGTTATTCTTCCTTCACAATTGAGGCCACATGTATAATTACAAAAGTAAATGGAAAAGTTGCAATTTTTTTAAAAAAGACTAACGCCTCTTCTTAACCTTTGTGACATAATAGTTTGACCACTGATATTGGGGAAAAGGAACTACTTCATTGGTGGGAATTTTATGCCTTTCAGGTTATTGGACAACAGCTCCAAGCATTCTCCAAAAACCTATCTATTTCACCTGTCATGTCCAGCATTTTTAAAAAATTTAATCATTACATTTGGCCCGGCCTTAGTTTTAAATGTGTTGTGGTGTTATTGTCTAATGTTTATTGCTCTTGTTTTAATGTTTATTGCTTAGGGAGATGTTAGCGGGGTATAAATAAAGGATTATTATTATTATTATTATTATTATTGTTGTTATTATTATTATTATTATTATTATTATTATTATTATTATTATTCAGCATTGCAATGCTGGCCAGGGCTGCTGGGAGTTGCCATTCAACAGTATATGGAGGGCTGCTTAGTTCCCAGTCCTGGTGATTTCCAACTAGGTACTTCCACATTTGTGGAGCTTATAAAATTTGAAAAAAGTGTGCTGAAGATATGCATTCTCTTGCTATAAAATGCAATTTTCCAAGCTCTGTACAGAAATGATGTGATGCATTTTGATAGTTTTGATCTGTTCATAATATTCTAATCCTTGCCAACAATGAGTTGTCACTTATATCTCATTTTAATTTTGTTTAAATTTGATACCTTTTGGAAACAAACTGCATATTTTGATTTTTTATTGTCACAAGCTATAGTGCCTCCTAGGGCTGTGCACAGATCCATTTTTCAAAATGGGCTCTTGCTGATTCAGCCGTAACAGCATGGGTGCTGCTGACATTTTTTTCCAGCTGGAACAGACCATGGGGTTGCTGACCATGGCTACTTTTGGTTACATTTGGCTACACATGGAACATGGAGAGGCAGCCCTGTGCCTGCATGGGTTTTCCCTGTAAGCCTTGCCAGTTGAGCCAATCAGAACAGAAGAAAGCCATGGCGTGTCTTTTAGCCAAACTAAGCCTCCATTTTTCTGTTGTGAGCAGGCTTCTGAGAGAGACAAATTTTGCTGCAGTTCATGGTGACCTAAATTCTCCTTGCTGCTAGCAGTTCTGCATGGCTTAGCTTGCTTTTTGACTCAAATAAAAATAAATATCAATAAGTGTTTACTTTCTGCACACTTTAGAAATTGCCGCCAATGGTGCCCTTCACACGAGGCAACCTTTAAATGTGGGGTAGATGTATCTTGCTATTTCTAAAGCTGCCATAAAATGAGGAGGTAATTTATATCTTTTAAAAAATGGCTAATGCAGCTTCAGGTGAAGTGGCCCCCACTGAAATAAGTGTTTAAAAAGAATGCCATAAGCTTCATTAAAAAAGGGTGTGGAGGGCAAATGATTCCAGAAAGGTTGGCTTCTTAAGTCTGATGTCTTAGCCCAGGTTTCATGGACGGATATCAGAAGAAAGGATCCTGAAAAGGTTGGTTTCTTAAGTCTGATGCCCTAATCCAGGTCTCATTGAAGGATAAAAGGAGAAAGGATCACAGAAAGTGTGGTTTTTAAAAGCCTGATGCCTTAACCCAGGTCTCATTGAAGGATATTAGAGGAAAGGACCCCAGAAAAAGTAGTTTCTTAAGTCTGATGCCTTAACCCAGGTCTTATTGAAGGATATAAGGAGAAACAATCCCAGAAAGGGTAGTTTCTTAAATCTGATGCCTAAACCCAGGTCTCATTGAAGGATATAAGGTGAAATGATCCCAGAAAGGGTCGTTTCTTAAGCCTGATGCCTTAACCCAGGTCTAGTTGAAGGATATTAGAAGAAAAGAACCCTGAAAAATTGGTTTCTTAAGACTGATGCCCCAAAAGGTGTGCCTTGGAAGTTTCCACATTGCCACCAATGGTCTGAATCTTCCCAGAGTGAAAACTGATCTTTTGACAGCCGGATTGAAAAATGGAATTTTGCCCGTCCAAGTTTGGGAGGCTCCTGAAAAATGGATTCAGGGGGCGGGGGGTTCACCAAAAGCCAGACACCAAAAATAGTATGGGGTTTAGCTGAATTGTACACCCCTAGTTCCTCCTCATGTATACAAGCTCTCCTGGAAGAGTTGAAGCTAACTATTTTAGACAGCCATTTTAACAGCATAGCAATGCAACCCTCTAGAATTAGTTAGAAATATAAAAGCCTCAGATCGGTGAACCCTTGAGGTACATTATTTGTTTCAGATCAATTTCAGAAGGGCTAGCTGTATTAAGCTTGTTGCGGGAAGAAGCAGGCTTTTGTAAATAATTGTCACTACTACCAGCTGTGTATTTATATACTGCCCTTTCTCCAATGGGCTCAAGACAATGGCCATAGATCTCCCTTTTCCACTTGGTTTTCGGTAAAACCTTGGAAGGTAGATCAAGTCGAAAGTGAAGAACTGGGCCAATGTCACCCAGCGAGCTTACATACCTGCAAGTTCCCATCTACCTCGAAACACTGTGCCTTGCATTATATTCTTGAAAGTCTGATGCTTCATATAATTGATAAAATGGACTGGAGTCCATGGATGTTTATTCATTCATTAGTTTTAAGGTGAGAAAAGGCTTTGTTCTTAAAGTCTGTGAGATAATTGTGACTATATAGTATCATTTCTAAGAAGAGAAAGTAAGTATTTTATCATGTGCTGAAGGAGGCAGGCTGCTGTTGCATTTTAAGGAATGCTCACATTATACCACAGTTGCTTGCCTATTTATGAGCCTAAATATAAATGGTGCCCTTTTTTTGCCTTTGTCTTTATAGAGTAAAAATATGCTTTTTGCACCAGATGATTTAACTTTTAACTGGAATTCCCTCCTGTTTCATGAATTCAAATTAAAAAAAAAATCCTTGGTAAAAGTGTGCTGCATCAGCAGCTCTGTCTCTAATGAGGTTCCATTTTGACTACATTTTTTAAAACCAAAAGCCAAACCCTGAAACAGGTTAACCGCAGTGCGGCTGAGAATGAGGGCCAGGGCTTTTATCAGTCATTTTATGTAATGCCATCTTTGGAGTTTCCTGGGCAGCTGCCCTCTGCTCTTTGAAGTCCTGTGCCCCGTTGATGCCCTTAATGAAATACATAAGTATGTGTTATGTAATAAAACTAAAATAATAGGAACAGAGCCAATTGGTTATAATGATGTGGAAGCTTGGGACATGTAGCAGTTGCAGGAACGTGCAGGCTACAGTGTAAGGTTTCCCCCCTAAAACAGCCTCCAAAGCGTTTCAGTAAGTGTGGAGTTATGAGGTAAGCAAGGTGAAAGCAATTTTCTTATTTAGGCATTACAAATCTGTCTATCAACATACTTTTTCTTCAGTTCACTAGCAGTATGGACTGTGCAACTGAATAGTGTTAAAGGCGTAGGTTGTGATGCTTTGAGATCTAAATCAAAGAAGTATTAAAACCACGCTAGGTTTTTTGTTGTTGTGATCTACATGTTACAATAAGCACTGCTAAAAGACTTCATTGGCTGGTAAATTGTCTTCCTTTGTTTTCTTATTTTTTCTCTCTTCTTTGCTTTAAATATAGCACCAATTTAACCTTATCCTTGATTTAATCTCATGCACCTTCCTTACGTGTCAATTCTATTTCCACAAAATGTAAACCTTGTGAGGGTGGGCAAACTTTGTCATAGCAGGTATCCTGAACCAAGAGCCATTTGGTGGGGTTAGTCTTCAGTTTATAGGACCACAAATGCACTCTTTTTGCTCATTTGTTGCATGGAAGCCAATGGAGTTTCAAAATTTTGCATGCTGTATTTTGTGTATTTTTGGTTGGCTTGGTGAAAGCATCACTGTTTTGTGGTTTTGGAAGTTGTGTATTTTGCTAGTATGGCCACTATGGCTGCCCCTGGATGTGTTTTATAGTCTATTGTGTTTTCTCAACAGCCAAGCTATATATTTGTAAGGAATGAAAGAAGGAGCTAATTTTTCATCTCCGCTTTTTCTAAATTGAAATTGAATTACAGGTGTTTTCAAAATATGAAACACTGGAGAACACTGTTTATAATTAAGAGTATTATATATAGAAGTCAGATTAACCACATATTTCCTCTCGCTCCTTGGCAATCAGACTAGATAACTGGTATACCTCATATTTAGATAAATCAGTTATCAAATACGAAACATTGCATGTTAAATGCAATATACAGGGATAAAGAAACCTATGTGACATATCAAGCAGATGTCTTTCACAATCTCTACAAAATATGATAAACATATTGCATAGTTTGACCTTCAATGCTACCATAGCACCCATTTGATGATTTTTTTCATGTCAGGAGCAACTTGAGAAACTGCAAGTTGCTTCTGTGTCAGAGATAGTGTCTTAACAATTGGAACTGCAATTTCAGCTTATGTTGTTTTCTAATAATCAGTCACAAAACAAGGCATGTTAAATGATATCCACACAATATGTGGATGAGGAAACACATATGATATATGTAGCATGTTTCTAGCCAGATCCATCCAACATTATTATATTACTGCTGTATTGAGTCTGCAAAGATAAACACTACCTAGGAACTTGACCTTCCTAGAGTCAAGAAAGTTTGAAGGAAGCTCTTGACGGATTCATGGACAGTCATTAACTGTAGCCCTTATCTTGAGTGGGGCTATCAAGTGGCTTCTTCACACTTTACTTTAAGAACAGTGTTATCACTAGTGTGAGTTTAAGGGTTCTCTCTCTCGTGTACTTGAGAGCCTTGACAGAGCATACAACCCTTGGGTAAAAGGACAAATCATTTGAATTAACGTTTAGCAGCTTCCTTTTTGCTGCATTTGAACACTATAAAACTTAATGCTTAAATGGTACCTGATTACTTTTAATAATAAAAACACATAGTGAAAGCTTGATTTTGAATCTGAAGTCTACTGATACCATTGTTCATCTCCTAATAATTCACATTTTCATTTCTCCTTTAGGTAGAGCTCACGAATGATGTACAGTCTTTGCTACTCATCATGTTGGCCGTCATGTTAGCCAAAATGGTTGGCGACTGGTTCAACACATCTCTATACAGTTCTTTACTGAAGCTGAAATGCATCCCTTATTTAGATGCTGAGCCATTTGTTGGCCACAGGAAAAACTGGTGAGTATTATTTTTGATCTGCATTAGTCTCATTTTGGGGGAAAATTGTAATCCATTACCTGTTAACAGGTTTTCCAAGAGTCATTGAAATGTGTGGACTTTGTTAGTTGCCTGACTTTACAAGATTACCATTTTGGGTGACTTTTTATGTTTTAGGGTCTAGATGGAGAGATGGAGCAAAGTTCAACTGTGCCAGAGTATCCACCCTTTTCCTCCCCATCATCTATCTATCTATCTATCTATCTATCTATCTATCTATCTATCTATCTATCTATCTATCTATCTATCTATCTATCTCAGTATGAGGCTCTAGTTTAGTTAATCCGAAATGAAACAGTATGAAAGTTACTTCTGGGTTGTTGTAGGTCAGACCTCCCAACCTCTGAGGATGCTTGCAATAGATGCAAGTGAAATGTCAGGAGAGAATGCTTCTAGAACATGGCCATACAGCCCGAAAAATCTACAGCAACCCAGTGATCCAGCCATGAAAGCCTTCAACAATACAAAGTTACTTCAGCTTTAAATCTGAACTGTATTCTCATTTGCATGTAACATTAACAATTGTTTCTTTAAACAGGTCAGGATTATCCTCAAACTTGGGATATGGAGTTGTTCATTGAACCATATTTGGAACTAGAGATGGGCAATTGTTGGGAGTTAGTGGCATGTTACCATCTCCTCTGGAAACCATGAAAGGCTGTATCCTGAAGCAAACTCCCCCCCCCCCCCAACACACAAATGCTCTTCAGGGGGTCTGGAGAAACATTTACCATGTTTTTGCACCTGGGCCATTTTAGGCTCAGGATAAACCTTTGCTTTTYTGAGAGAAGGTGATCTAGAAATCATTTTGCAATTCATGGCATCATAGAATAATAGAGTTGGAAGAGACCACATGGGCCATCTAGTCCAACCCCCTGTCATGCAGGAAAACCGCAAAGTACCCCTGACAGTTCATTTCCTGGGTCTTCCCTGTTCTTTAAATAGTCTAGCTCCCCCACCCCATGACATGATGGAATTACTCCTGTGCACCCTAGATGGATCCATAACTGCATAACCCAGTTAAAACATTAGTTTAAAAGGTTTATACAGTCTATAGACATTTAAACAACCATAATTTACCATTCATAATTTAAAATAATCTGGATAGGCATACTGGAATAGATTTGTCTTTCATTCTATTTTAAAGTCAGACAGTAGGTCATTCCACATAGTAGGGGCAGTTGCATAAAAAGTCCTCTGAGTGACTGTTGCCATCCTAGTTCTGGCTGAGTCGAATAAATAATACCTGAGTGGATTATAAAGGAGGAGATGATCTTGTAGGTAACTTGGGCCCAAATCATACAGGGCTTTAAAGATAATAACCAACACTTTGAACTTTGCCCAGAAATTAACTGGTAGCCAGTGTAGTGATTATAATATAAGTGTGATATAATCACTCCCAGATGTACCAGTGACCATTCAGGCTTCCATGGTGTGAACTAAATTGAGTTTCCAAATTTGGTACAGAGGTAGCCCAATGTACAATGCATTGCAGAAGTCCAACTTGGAGGTTATTAATGCATGCACTGATATCTTTAGATCCTCCATTGCTAGTAAGGGTGCAGCTAGCATAACAGCTGAAGCTGAGAGGCACTCCTGGACTCCTGTCTGAGTTATCATTTGAAGTAACGGATCCAGAAACATCCCCAAGCTGCAAAAAGCCTTTCAGGGGAATGTAATCCCATCTAGGACAGGATGACTTATATCTAATAATGCTTGTTCCTGATTATGCAGTTTATTGCCTTTGGGATTCTGGCTGATCAAGCTGTATCTAATTCTGCAGTGCATTGTAACTTCTAATTGTGCTGCACTCCTAGCTATAAAAAAGCCTCCCCACCCTTCCCATTTTATAAAACGGAGTTAACTGGAATGCTTAGGATTGCCGGCTGCCAGGGAGTGTTTTTTTTTAATGAGGGCAAGAGTACTTGAACACATCTACAACTTGGCAGCTCCTCCTGCTTTTATAAGCCACTAGGCACTTCGAGAGAGAAAATACCTTACAGCCTACTTTTAATGGGATAAGTTGAGTTAAGAGCTGAGTGAATCTGGTACTTGTTCTGTTCTAGCTTAACATGAGATATGTCAAAAGTCTCATGGTGTTTCTGCATGATATGTCATATAAAGATGCTTTTGAGGGCCAAGAATTCTGGTTATAAATAGAAATATCTTGGAACTTTGGTTGTATTGCATAGTATTGCTTTTTGATATTACCTCTTCCAACATGCTGATTTGGTTCTCTAGAACCTGTATTTTGTATATCCATCTTTTAATTGGATTGAAATGAATTTATTGAGAAATCACTCACATTTCCACATTTGTATATATAAACCTGCCATCCTCAAATTAAATACAGATTAGATAGAATGCTCTGTGTTTTTAAAATGGTATACATGTGTGTAGGAGAGTATGAAATAAAAAAGAAAGGGGAATGAGAGGGCAAGAAAAAGAATGGATGACAATATTAACTTAGAGGGTCGGACTTGTATTTCAGAACTTAAAAATAAAGCTTACCTTGTGGCATGGCTCCTGTGGCATAGCTATGCACCCTGCTCATATAATAAAGTTGTGATGTCCATGGTATAGATTTTCCAGAAACATCTAGAATTGTTCGTCACACCCCACCAGAGCCTATGTTTGCCCTCTTCAGAATCTATAGGGAAGCCTGTAGTGTGGGTGTCTGTGTATGTACACATATAGAGATATGGATTCATAGAGTTGGAAGGGACTGTAAGAGCCAATCAGTTTACTCCCTGCCATATTTTTTCCACATATTTAAAGATATCACTTCTCAATCTTATTCATCTTTTTATTACTTTTAATCTTATTTTTTCCAAGCAAAAATGCCCAATTCCCTTACTCATAGTATCTTATCATCTTCTCCCTATCATTCTGAATGTTGTTATTTCACCAATCCACTCTCCTTTATATGCTAATAATGATGATGATGATGATGATGATATACTTTATTTATATTCTGTTCTATCTCGCCGAGGGGACTCAGGGCAGATTATAGTACACATATATGGCAAACATTTAATGCTGCTATAAAATTAACAAAGACAGACAGTACACAAACATAGGTAAAGGCTTCCCCATCTTTTTCCATTTATGGCATCTGGAGGCTGTGCTTGACTCCAGCCATGGGGAGGTGCTGTCTTCCATGCCAAGGAGCTTTGTTGTCCTTAGACGTTCTCCTGATCGAATCGCTGGCATGACCGCATGGGTGCCTTATATTACCTCCATGCCAATTGCTGTTTTTGAACTGCTAGGTGAGCAGAAGATGGGCTGATGGCAATAGCTCACCACAGTCTGGGCTTGAACTGTTGACCTTTTGATTGGCAATGTTTTCTACAGCTGGCAGTTTAACCTTACTTTTTAAAAAGTTTCACACCTTGAGTCTTGATCCTGAGAGAAAAAGTGGGGTATAAATACATAATTTCATACTAACCTTAATTTCCTACGGTCAAACCATTATTGGTCTAAACACAGTTTGTGCTGACTAAAGTAAAGCCATTGAAAGAATTAGGACTTACCTATGTTTTGACACACTATTGAGCAACTGATTCAGTGGAGCTATACTGTTTGACAGACTTTGTATTTCTAGGGGCAAAGATTACTGCAGATGCAGACTGTAGCCAGGAAATCAGAAGACGCTTACTTCTTGGGAGGAGAGCAATGTCCAGTCTCGATAAAATAGTGAAGAGGAGAGACATCAGACTGACAACAAAGATCCGCCTAGTCAAAGCCATGGTATTCCCTATAGTCACCTACGGATGTGAGAGCTGGACCTTAGGGAAGGCTGAGCGAAGGAAGATAGATGCTTTTGAACTGTGGTGTTGAAGGAAAGTTCTGAGAGTGCCTTGGACTGCGAGAAGATCCAACCAGTCCATCCTCCAGGAAATAAAGCCCGACTGCTCATTGGAGGGAAGGACAAGAGACAAAGATGAAGTACTTTGGCCACATCATGAGGAGACAGGAAAGCCTAGAGAAGACAATTATGCTGGGGAAAGTGGAAGGCAAAAGGAAGAGGGGCCGACCAAGGGCAAGATGGATGGATGGCATCCTTGAAGTGACTGGACTGACCTTGAGGGAGCTGGGGGTGGTAACGGCCGACAGGGAGCTCTGGCGTGGGCTGGTCCATGAGGTCACGAAGAGTCGGAGACGACTGAACGAATGAACAACAACAACATACTGTTTGTTACTAACCACCAGGATTCCAATTGATCTCACAACTTTTGAGGATGCCTGCCATAGATGCAGGTGAAACGTCAGGCGAGAATGCTTCTAGAACATGGCCATATAACCCGAAAAACCTACAACAACCCAGGATTTTTCCTAAAATTAGAGATAGTCCCTCATGGTTCATTTTTATTCTTGTTTCCTGTTAAAAATGATTCCAGCCTTGTATTTGCCCTTCTTTCTCTGAACAAAATAAGCTTGTCCTTGTGGAGAAACAAACACATTTTTTTCTGAACTCCTGCCTACCGTTCTGAAAAGCTTCACCTAACAAAACCATTTCTTTTTTGATATAAAGAATCTCATGGTGGTCTCATATGGAGTAAATTTGTTCCAGACTCCTGGAAAGTTTTTGAATTGTTTTTTCTTCTGTAGGTCATTGTAGATAACAAGCACAAAATGAATTCCTATTAAGAGAGAAACATAGATTGAATACTTTCGGCTAGTTGGAAAGAGCCTGTGGATTGTGTGCCAATTTATTGGTGCCTTTGGGTCCATTCAGCTGTTAGATGGAATATTTTGTAGGTGGAACATATAGTGAGTCCAATCACTGGATAAGATATTCCATTAATTGGTTAAGGTTGCCAAGATATCTGGCCACCAGCTGACAGAAAGAATCTCATGGTGAGAGAAAAATCCACATGTTTTCCACTTGAAACTGACCAATATTTCAATTGTATTGGGAGAGAAATAGTTCTTAAGACTTTTAAAGATTTCTTCATACTTGATACTTCATTTTAAGAACTGTCCTATGTTAAGAACATCCTTCTCCCATACAGACCTTGGTTTTCTTCCTGCTCTTATAGACCAGGTATGCTCTTTCTGTAACAGGTCTTCTAGATCAGGGGTCCTCAAACTAAGGCTCGGGGGCTGGATACAACAACAACAATCCTATCTCATCAGCCAAAAGCAGGCCCACACTTCCCATTGAAATACTAATAAGTTTATATTTGTTAAAATTGCTCTTCATTTTAATTATTGTATTGCTTTTAAGTGTGTTTTTTTGCACCACAAATAAGATATTTGGAGTGTGCATTGGAATTCATTCACTTTTTCCAAATTATAATCTGGCCCTCAAACAGTTTGAGGGACTGTGACCTGGCCCTCTGTTTAAAAGGTTTGAGGACCCCTGTTCTAGATTATTGAAGACCTTCCCAGGAGTTTTCAGTGTAGTTGCAATAATTCAATGGCTGTGTTTTTTGATGCTGCACAGTATGTTTGGTTTCATATAAAATTGCTTTAAATTATTCTATGTCTTATGGCCGTTCGATAATTTTAAAGTGGAATATCTACCCTTATCCTGTTTTTCTTAGACCTTTATTATCAGAAATTGCCAGAGACACAATTGCTTGGTAGTTGTTTTATCTGTTCAGCTGTAACAGGGCCGAGAAGTGTCATTTAAAATATTTTTATTATTTGCCATAATAATATATAAAATTGTAATTAGACTCACATAATCAAAATTCCACATTACCTATATGCGATCTTTAAAATCGGAAAGAATATGGAGATAAAATTGATATTATCTTGAATGTTGTCACTCTAAAACCAGGAAACAAGGAAAGCACTTTGTCTCTCGATAAGCCTATTGTCAGCATTTCCTTGGCTCTTATTACTGTATATACTCGAGTATAAGCCATGATTTTGAGCACATTTTTAAGGATGAAAAAGCCCCCCTCGGCTTATATTCAGATTGGCTTATACTTGAGTATATACGGTAATTTGATTAGTATCTATTTTTATTTTTGAAATTTACCAGTAGCTGCTGCATTTCCCACCCTTGGCGTATATTTGAGTTAATAGGTTTTCCCAGTTTTTTGTAATAAAATTGGGTGCCTCAGCTTATATTCAGGTTAGCTTATACTCAAGTATATACAATACATAATTATGTTATATCAGTGGGTTTGACTATTATAGTCATGTCCCATAGATAGACTATTGTATTGTGGTTTGAGAATTGAACTAAGTAAGACTTTGGGACACTAGGGTTTAAATTCCTACTTAGCCTTGGGAACCCATGGGGTGATCTTGGGCAAGTCAGATTCTCAATTTCAGCAGTAATTGGAAATGAATAGTTTAAAAAATCCTAATACGCAGTTTTTATTTCATTTATTTATTACATTTGTATGCTGCCTTTCTCCTCAGTTGGGTCTCAGTGTAGCTCACAAGGTGAATTAAAAAACCTAACAATAAAATGTAAAAATAATTAAAACTGCCACATTAAAACAGTATCAAATCATGTGAAAGGCATACAGACATTTAAATAAACAAAGCACACATCTCAATCAGATGCCCTCCTATGACCCATTCAAAGTCTGCTTAAACAAAAAAGATCAGTTGCTGGTGAAATTAGAGCAGGTAGAGAGTCAGTGTAGACTATCATAGAAGTCCAAAGGCAAGAAGCAGCCATTGAGAAGGTTCTCTCTTGTGTCCTCACAAATCCAGCCAGTGATGATGGCAGAACCAAGGGAAAGCTCTCCCTTCACAAATCTGAAGATTCTGATAATTTCTTGTAGAAAAGTATGGTCTTTCAGATAGCCATATAGAGCAAGTTATGATTAGCACTCTAGATCATGCTGAGAAATGAGCTGATAGCCAAGTAAAGTTATTTTAGACTAGGGATTTATATGATCCTATTAGCTGGCCCTGGTAAGTATTCTGGCCATTGCATTTTGAACCTGGTGAAGTTTCCAAAGGCAGTGCCACAAATACTGTGTTAGAGTAATCCAAATGCGAAGCAATCAAAACATGTATCTCAAGGAACAGGCACAGCTGGTGCAATTGTTTTAGCTGTGCAAATGCACTCTTGGTGATTGCCAAAACCTGGGCATCCTGGAGGCAAGCAGGAGAACACCCAAGCGGCAAGCCTGAAATTTCAAGGGACATTTAATCCCATCCAGTGCAGGGGTACAGTTTGACAGTTGCCTGACTTTTCTGATTTCAGCAATCTCTGGGAAAGAGAGGGAAGAAGTTTCCAGCTGCTGTATTAGTTTGGAGAGTGATACGTACAATGTCTGTCTATGGACATGATTTTCTTGGCAGCTTATGGATGTACTACCACATGGGTGAGATGAACATGCATCTGTGCATGTGTGTGTAAAGAGTCTTCTGAAATGCGTCAAATATTTTCATTGTTTCTGCTGTATACGTTGTTTCCATCCTTAACAGAGCACATCTGTACTGCCATGTCACATCTGTTCAGTTAGTCATTGGTAAACAAATGTTATTTTAAATCCTCTTTAGGGAAGCGAATGACACACACATTAAGTTAACCCAAACACATTCTGCATTTAAGTACTCATTTGTCTCTGTGTATAGTTGGAGAGTCATATCTCCTCTCATTTGTACAGCCTGAGAAAGTTAGTGCTACAGAACTCTTAAGAATTTTCCTCCACTTCCTTTATGTGTGTGAGAGGCAGAGCAATTTCAGTTGCACAGAATTAACCATGGCCTTATCATACTGTAAAGTGTCGGATAACTCTGGTTTACTGAGGATCACACTTAAACCCTAATTTCTGAAAACAAAATCCTTCTTTCTGAACTATAGTGTTCAGGTTTCAGTTGATTGACTGACTTCCCATAGAACATTTTACAGTAATATATTTATTTATTTATTTATTTATTTACCTTACTTATATACCGCTGTTCTCAGCCCGAAGGCGACTCACAAGTTACAAAACAAGATAGTTTCTGTAGGTTTGTTCTTAAGTTGAATTTGTATGTAAATTGGAATATGTATAAGTCTAAAGACCTTGTAAAATGACAGCTTTCATGATTCCATTGCATTGAGCTGTGATAGTTGAAGTGGTGTCAAACTGCATTAATTCTACTGTGTAGATGCACTCTCAGGCTCATTGGTGCAGTCATCATTGTGCCAGCTGCATAGTGACAGTTCAAAGTAGAACCCAAAATTTCAGGCAGTTGTCTGGCAACTGTCATCTCAATGAGGAGCATGTCTTTTATACAGCCAATGGTCCTTATACAGTCAAAAATTCTTTGGATTGCAAATGGGATAGCTCATAGCAATACATCATTGCTGGGTCAAAAACCTGTTCACTTGTAGATACTGCAAGGATTACAGTGGTAGTTGGAAGGAACATGGGAGAGTCTTGAGATGTTGACCCTGTGAGCCTTGGCTCCATTATCTCAGTGGGCAGTGGAACCTGTCGGGTTGTTGTAGGACAGGAAAAGCATGCATGATTTCCTGAGCTCCTTGGAGAAAATGTGGGATTAGGATGGATTCTTGAGCACCAGCAAAAGGGGAGAGAGATTTGAATAAAATCAGTGTACCCATGTATGTTGCTTTTTGTCTGTAGTTGCAAATTTAGAAATAATTGCTATAATTTAATGGGGCCATGAGATGTTTCACCATAGAAGTGACTGGGGAAGTGCTAGAATTTAGTATGCATCAAGGCATGAGTCTCCTTTTTCTTGTGTCTTAATTAGACCCCCCTAAGGTGATGTACAATATGGATGAAAATATTAAAAATAATTAAAATAATTTAAACCCAAATGTTTCCACCAGCCAGCTTAAACTTCCAATTAACTCTGATAGGTCTTCAAACAAAGAATTACATTCTGTATGTGGCCATTGCAAGTGATATGTCAGGTCATTGTAATAATCTCTAGTGATCCTAGATTTTATTCAACTTTTACATTCTGCCACTGTGGCGCCACCAGATCATCAAGGCAACCCACAATTTATTATGAAAAGCTTAAATTTTTCAACTTGAGCAGATGTGGCACAAATGTTCCTTGCTATCTGTGAACACAGCAGTTGTGAATGGTTTCCAACATCTTCAGGCAGACATCCATGGCCGCTGCCATGGGCAGGATATTGAGCTTGAGTAGACAACTAATCTGAGCTATTTTAACTGTTCATCCATTCTTATGAAAGCCAGAATTATTTTTGTTCCCCTTCCAATTGTCCTCCATGCTCAAAGAACATTTTGTAACTTAAATGTGATTTTCTGAGAATTTTATTTTCAGTTAGGTCTTTAAAACCCAATGCTTGAAAGTTGATTAATGTCTCTTGCCCTCTTCTAGAAAACTGCTGCTTGCATCTGGTTGAATTTACTGTCTTACTCATAGGTAGGAAACCATGCTGGATAATCAGTTTACTGGCTAATTGTATTTTAAACAAAATATCCACAAATAAAAAACCCAATTTATTTGCAGCTTGGAGCAATTCTCCAGCACATTATAAAGTCATCAAATGCTAACATGGTACAGCACTCATTGTTTCCTGTTTACTAAATAAAGGCTTGCCTTTCTGCTTTATATCTTTCAGGTTAAACCTGGAGTTGTTTGCTGCCAGAGATGTCATGAAGCGTCACGTCAGGGTTCTCCACTTAAAGGAAAATGTTGCTTTCTTGGCTCAGCTCCTGGCCAACACCAACCATAGTGGATTCCCTGTGGTTTGCAAATCTAAGGCAGATCAGACAGAGGTGTTCCTGGGAACAATTACAAGGTAAGACACCACTGTGTTCTTTCTTGAAGATAAGTGGCCCCTCGGGCCTGTACTTAGAACAAAGAAAGAAGGTTTTAACATGCATTGTTATGAAAATCAGTGTTACACATGAAGTAGACAGTTTGAGATCTACATCTGTATTCTTTCTATAGGCTGGAACAACTTTGTGTATTTTACACAGTGCTGTCTGGGAAGGCCTCTCTTTGTGTTCCTTAATATTATTGTGACCTTTCCCATTCCTTAAGGCACTTGGAGCTTTGCTAGAAAAAAATACTTCAGAAAAAAAACTGGAGTGGTCAAATTGATTGCAAAATTGAACCTGATCCAACTTCTTTGAAAAAAATCTCTAGCAAGCTCTCGTTTGTTTACTGTTATTCCAGTTCACCTCTTTCAAGATAAAACATGTCAAAATTCAGACTGAACAGCAAAGTCTATGTCATTTTGTGATGGTGTGCTTCAGTAAACAGGATCTAAAATCAGCAAGCATTTCCACTTCAACAGAGGAAAATTGCAATGGATACTGGTATTTCTAAAAGGGGACCAGAACTATTCAGTTTGTGATATTATTTAAGTTTGTTTCCTATCCCTGAAGAATTCATATCTTGACTTGTAGAATTTCTTGGTATCAGTTTATATGTGGAAAATGTAGTTTTGTGACAGTCTTAGATAAGATATAAGAAAATGTATATTCATTAAAGATGAATTGAATTACAAAACAAAACATTTTCTAACCATTTTCTTATTTTATTGCTGGGAGATAGTTTCATTATTGAGAAAATTCTTTATACAATTGTATTGTGTAACGAGTTTTCAATTTTATTATTTATTATAATCATTGCTTAGGCTATTCTTAAATATTCAGGCCTATGGAAGTAGAATATTAGTACTCATTAGCTATAATAATGTTTCTTTCTTTCTTGGAAGCTCATCAGGGCAGCATATGGTTAGTGAGTGGCATCAGTCCATTTTCTATCAGATCACTATAAGGTTAACTACTTTCTCCTGTCAGATCCCTCAATCAACTCTACCTATCAAGTTATAGCTATGACAACTTGGACCCGTCTGATTATGTCACATTCATAGTGTATATGTCAAATTTTAACATTATTCCATAAACATATTAGGATGGTTCCAGGCTGAGTTCATTGAACTGAGCTTTCATTTGAAAGATACTTAAATCTTGGCCTATTTCTTTGGATGGAGTCTAAGTTTAGCTTAATTAGTCTGGATCCAAACCAACTGGGCAAACAGACATTTTTGCAGTGCTTTATCTGTCATGTTGTTGTTTCTATTGAATGTTATTAGCAAGTGTACAGTTATGAAGTCTTTCAAACTGTAGAGTCCAACAGGTTGAGTATGTTACATTAAATAAGCTTAACCCACTTCTTTATTTCCCATCTGTCCACTGCAATAAAACCAGAGCTGTTGCTAATAAATGATTGAGCCAAAATGCTTGTTTCATTTTTCCCTTGTTAATTCACCCATACTGTTTTGAACTCTACATCACTTGCCAATGATGAAGGAACATCTGAACTTTGTAAAAATACCACAATAAACTGTAAGATAATGGCAGTAAAAAGCTGAAGGTGTGTATCATATTTCCATGTGAATTAGTAAAAAGCGAGAGCCCGTCACAACACTGAAGTAAATAAGTTATTTTATTTCCTTTTAAAATGTAGATACTTTCAAGATATCTCTGGTAGCTTAATTGTAGATTTGAACCCAGTCTTGTATTTCTGTGTTGGACAAATGCAGGGCACCTTTTTTTCTTGCTCCTTCATCTCCATAACCCATGCTGCCAACTCCCTTTTGCCCAAAATTTAAGGATAGGTTTCTTTTGTACAGAACAACTTGATCAAAGAGATCCTATGTATTTTGCCCAATATTTTGGCTGCTACAAGGGCATATTATTTTTTTTAAAGAAAGCTTACAATCCAGATCAGGTAGGCACTAGATGTCTTGCCCATAATCCAGGAAAAAATACATCAAAACAAGACACAAATATAAACACAGCCCCCTTTTGAAAACCACAAATTCCACTTCGAGGGTGGGTCTTTTAAAACATTTGTAGTACTCTGTGTGGCCCTTGGAAGGTCCCAAGGCAAGCAAACTGGTTGCTAGACCCACTACAGTTGTCCACCTTGACCTAAAATATTAGAGGGTCAAGATACTTCACATTAGCAATCTCTTGTTCATGGTGATTTAATCTCATACTCTCCAACATTTCATAGAGGAAAACCTTAGCAATGTCACAGTGAGGTCAAGATGGCAAACATTATTAAAGAGGAAATGCACACATGTTAGAAAAAACTGCAGTAATTTGCTCCTGCCCGAACATCTTGGGAAGGTAAAATTCTGTCCTTCCCTTGCTGAATTCCTTGAATGCAAATCTCTTCTGTCCTTTGAACTCAGTTTGTAACTTTAGGAGAAAGTGGGAGAAGTAGAAAAATACAACAGGCCATTTTATTTCATATTTGTATATGATGTATTTTTGTTATTTTGTGTTTTAACTATGTTGCATTATTTTTGGCTTGGCCTCATGTTAGCCGCCCCGAGTCCCCTCTGGGAAGATGGTGGCGGGTTATAAATAAAGTTTATATAATTATATTTATTATTAAAAGGCAGAATGACAAGATAGTTTTAGCAAAATCAGGATTACTGGACAGTATATAAACCTGCAAATGCATCCTGACTGTTGAGAGCTATCTCTTACAGACATTTATGAGCTAGGATTGTGATGTGTTAACAGTTTTATAATTATCATGGTACAGACGTTGGCTAGAGTGTTGGACTGGGGAGATCAAGATTCAAGCATCCATTAAGACATGAAAACTACTGGGCTACTTAGGATCAGTCACTCACTGTCCCATGTATCTCATAAGAATTTTGTTGTAGGAATGAGGAAGCTTGGATGCTACTCACTGGAGGAAAGGTGGAATTTACATTATTTTTTTAAAGTAATCTGGTACATGCTAAATCGGCATCTGATTTTGGGTTGAGATGCTTATAGTTAAAATTTGAATCATAATTTCCCCTTGCTATGAATAGCAGACTGTGAGTTACCTCAAGAGCACAGACCAGGAAATTCAGGGACTACAGTTAAAATTAACTTTTCCAAGTTTTTATCCAGACTAAATTGGTCAGTATATCCCACTGAAATCAAAGGACTAACTTTAACATAGTTTGAATCTAATTCAGAATATCTGCTGGCCTGATTTTGGTATTACTTTTTTTTAAAGTATGAAGAAATAGATACTAATTATATTTGGCCATGGTAGAACTATGGTTGAAATAAAGGCCAGGGCTCTTGTGCAAACCTACCAGAGAATGGAAGATAATTAGATCAATAATAAACAGGTGTTACATCACCATCTGGACTAGCATATGCAGATGGGTAATGAAATAATATCATTTATTCACAGGGTAATAGTGCTTTTGCCAAGATGCAAACGAGTATCTTTGTTTAAGGGATGACATTTAAAATTGGCTTCATCCCCACTTGCTGAGGACAATTAAATAGAAAGTGCCTGCAATTCATTTGTGGAAAGTCTAAAGCAGATATAGAAACAGAAAAAACCCAAGTTATTTATTTATTTATTTATTTATTTATTTAT